GGGTAGAGGAGAAGTGTGGCCGTGGCACTGCTGCCCCACCTGCGTCCTACTGGGGGGCCCCTGGGGGCCCCTTCTGCTGACAACACTAAAACTCTGCCTTGGGGGGGGGGGCTCCCCAGAGAAGAGAAAAAACCAGACAAAGAGAGAGAACAACAAACCTAGAACCGGTGACAATAACTCTGGGAGCAAGCATCCTCCAGCCTCCTGGGTGGACTCAGAGGGTTTCTCCTGCCCACTGATCCCTGGTTTTCCCCAGCCTCTTCCTAACACTTAAATTACAGGACAAGAGGCACCAGCTCTCAGATGGAGGGGGGAGCTGTGGTTGTTTGTATGTTTCACTTGGTCCCAGGGAGTTTCTGAAAAGCCTGTGTTAGGAAGGCTAAGGTAGTACCTGCCTGGTGTGTTATGCCCCCCTCTTCTGTTCCAGCTCAAGTTGCCTTAAAAGAAAACCCCAAACCAAAAAACCCCGAAAACCCCATTAATTCAGTGATTGCAACAGGCACCACTTACCAAGTGCTCACTGTTTCAAGAATAATACATACATGATTTCATTTAACCCTCGACAATCCTGAGTTGGATATTATTGCCATTTTAAGATAAGGGCACAGGGGCCCAGAGAGGTTAAGTAACTTTTCCTAAGTCACACTGCTAATAAAACGATGGGGTTCAAACCTAGGTCAACCTCTTTCTAAAGCTAGAACACTGTTCAGGGCATCATGCTCTTCTGATGTGCCTAGAACAGGACTCTGCAGAACACGGAAGTTTTGCACATGCTCATTAAATGTTCTCCGGCTAGAAAACACCAGAGCACTGTGGGAATATGTATGTTCAGGTGTGCAGACATGTGTTGATGTGTGTGTGTGTGTGTAGGGGGAGGTAGGTGACTGGTCTCTAAGTTGGGGTGTGGGTGTGGGTGTGCCTGGGAGCCTGGGTATGTAAACATAAGGTGCATAGAACCCTGGGGCACCAGGGTTAAAGGGGAGGTTAAAGGTAGGCAGAGGTAGCTTGGGTGTGTGGTAGTTGGGGGCCCTCTGCAGTAGCACCTCCCCCCTTAACTCCCTACTCCAGTGAACTCCAACAATCAAGACAGCCTGTCTCTCTCCCTAACTCCAAGGCTCCACCAGGCCAGAATATAACGGGTACAGGGAGCCTGGGTGGTTCAGTCGGTTGGGCGTCTGCCTTCGGCTCAGGTCATGATCCCAGGGTCCTGAGATCGAGTCCTATGTCCCCATGTCGGGCTCCCTGCTGAGCAGGGAGCCTGCTTCTCCCTCTGCTCCCCCCCCCCGCCTTGTTCTCTCTCTCACACGCACGCTCTCTCTCTCTCTCAAATAAATAAAATCTTAAAAAAAAAAACAAAACGAATGTAACGGGTACAAACGCCTGGAGGCCCCCTCCACCAGTCCTCTCCACACCGAAGGAAGGTGGAACATTCCGGGAGCTTTTACATTAAGGGGACCCTGTAGGGTGGGTGAAGGTCCAGGTAGATGCTTAGTAACTGAAATTACCACGTCCATCTGCTGCCTCCCTTTTTCGAGTCACAAAGCACTCTCCCCTCCACAAATGCATTGATCTTACATATCCCCCCCCCCCGCACCCCCCCAAGCCCAAGGAAGGCAGGGCACACTTGCTGGACCAGATCACTATCCCCACTTTACAGGGGAGGAAGCAGGGACCCAGGGAGCAGAAGCAACTCACAAGAGGTCACAGGGCAGGTAAAGGGTGGAGCCAGGGCTGGTGGCTCTTTAGGCTGACTGGGTTCCTCTAAGCTCCAAATCGTGGGGGTGGGGTTGCTGGGCTGAACTTCACCTAGGGCAGCTACTCAAAGCTTTTAGTGAGAGCAGCTGGTTGGAGGGAAGAGACTGAGGCAGAATATTTGGGGGGAGGTGTTGGGGGGGCAGTTCATCCACTCAGCCAGCTGTAAACTGGAATTTCTCTAGTCTGACACTGAGGCTTTGGCCGCCAATGGGTAGAGGGTGGCAGAGGATTTTATTTCCAGCTATCTAAAGGTTGTTATTTTACCATTAAGAAGTGGCAGGGGTGGGGGAGTTATCAGTTAAAAAGTTTTTTTCTTCCAGAGTCACTTGGGAAGATTTCTTCATCTAGGGCCTGGACTCCCAGGAAGGCGGTGTGGTCTGAAGAGAGGAGATGATGTGATGGAGCCCTGCCCTGCTATTATGTAACCCGGGCCTCAGTCTTCCAAACTGTAGCAAAAAGGTATTAATATCCTTGCTCCACCCCTCCCAACTTCACAGGGACAGGCAAAAAAGTATCCACGAGTGAGGATAAAAGCACTAGGAAAAGAATGCATTATCAAATATTCATTTTACTCTGATTTTGTGCCAGGCACTGTTCTAAGTGCTTTACACATGTTAACTTATTTACTCGCCATCCAGACCCTGAGAAGACACTGAGGTGCAGAGAGGGTACATAACTTGCCCAACGTCACACAGCCAGACTGTCATAAATCCAGATATGGACCCATGTAGCCTGGCTTAAGTATATGCTCTTGACCACTGCATTTTGCTGCCCTGGCCCACAGAGGAACCGCTTCCACTGGGGGCCTGGGAGTTGGGGGCTGGGGGCTGCCCGCTACAACTCTGGAGAAAGGCCACATCCTATTGGTGTTTGCCCTCCTTCTTGCCTGTAGCTGCCAGACCCTCCACTCAGACCCTGGGCTTCTGATTTCAGATTCTGGGAGAAGTGTAGAGGACAGGTGACAGAGCCTGGGGGTTAGAAGCTCAGGCTCTAGGATGAGACAGATCTGGCTACTGACCTGGGCAAATTTACTTCACCACCCTGGGCCTCAGTTTCTTCATCTGAAAATGGGAATAGTCATTCAGTTGTGTGGTTGTTTTGAGAACTAAACAAGACGACTTACGTAAAGCTTTTAATAGGGTTCAAGGCACGTGATGGATTCTAAAAAAATTAGCTACTGTTATTAATAAAGTCTGGCATAAAAGGGTTGGTTTAGTGGAGGAAACTGGTAAAAATAAAAATAAAGGAAAACACACTTTAATGGTAAGAGCCCCTCAGTCAGGATGGGCTTCTTGTTTAGACCCAAGGGCTTATATGGCATTTGGGACTCTGCCACTAAGTGGCAGGGAGTGTCCCCAAACTCTTCAAACATACCCAATCCATCTGTAGCAGGCCGGAAAGGTGGGGGTATGGGAGGGTGATGCTATGCCAGGATGGGTCAGAAGTTCAGAGAAGAGAACCTATTATTGATCAACAACCAGGCAGCGTGCCAGGCTCTTTATCTGTGTTATCTATTTGATCCCCCTGATAAATCATTTAAGGAGGTGGTAGTAAACACACTTTTCAATTAAAACTAAGATTCAGACAGGTTAAGTAACTTGTCAAGGTCACACAGCTAAAAAATGGCAGAGCTGGAATTTGAACTGAGGTCTCTAAGATGCTGTTATAATTGGAGAGAACTTGTAGGATGTCCAAAAGGGGGTTAGCCACCCCAGCTGCCTTTAGCTACCCACCACCTGCCTTCTGCCTTGCCACATCCCCACCCACTCACCCATAGGCCAAGACTGAGTTGGGTGAGCCAACAGCAGGCCCTAGCATGTGCCACCTGGAGCAAGCCAGGGCCTGGACCCTCTGGTGCCCTGGAGGACAGTCATGCTGCCAGCATACCAGGGCTGGAAGCCTGGTAGACACTCCACTCCTCTCCTCACAAGCTCCTGGGGGGCAAGACCGAGGGTCCATCCTTAAGAGGGGTTGGGCACAGCCTCATTCTTCCTGGGCCGACCCAGGGCTAGAGTGGTACTGGGTAGAGAAGCTGGGACTCTCCTGCCCCCCAGGGAAGTGGAGTGCTGAGCCGCCAGACCTCCCCCCAGAGGACCCAGGCAGGTGGCAGCACAGAGCCCCAAGGGCAGCGGGCCCCTCTGACCTCTCTCCACTTCCCAAGCGACCTTCTCTTCTGAGGAACAAGGCGCCAAATCTCTGGGACTGTCCTCCCTAGACAGTCAAGGAGGCCAGGAGGGACAAAGCGCGCCCCCTCCCCCCAACAGGGCCTTTGCCCCACTCCTGGTTCCGTGTCTGAATCCTCTCCCCACCGCACCCTCCAACGCAGGCCCGGGCGGCTCATGAATGAACTGCACTGTGTGGGGCGCAAGGAGAGGACACGCTCCTGGGGCCAGTCGCCTCCCCAGCCCGCGACCAGTCCCCAGACGGGCCGGGGGCAGCGGCCGGCTTCATGCCAGCACCCGCGAACCCTGCCCTTGTCCGAGCCCGAACCCCTGCCCCGGGTCGGCTTCTGGGGTACTCAGCCCCGGAAACAGGAGACAAGATAAAAGAGACCGAGGGCACTGGACTTGGCGACCCTGGAATCCAAAACTCGGGGGCGGGGGCGGCAGGTTCCCCACAGCGGCGGCGGGCTGATGGGGGCGCAGCTGGAACCCTGGAGGGACGCGCGGGGGACGCGCACCTGGACCGGGCAGGTGGGAGAAGAGTGGCGCTAGGGGGCCGGGGGCGGGGGTCCCACCCCTCTGGATCTCCCCAGGGGTGGGGACAGACGGCGGGGCACATCTGGACCCTCGGCAGGGTTCGGAGGACTCGCATTTGGCTTAAGATGGTGCGGGGTTGGGAGCAGCGCGCGGCACCACTAGGTCCCGCGGGCCCGGGCACCTCTGGGTCCCGCAGGAGGTTGAAGGGAGGGGACACGCAGCTGAGTCCGGGTTTTCCTTTGGGTGGTGGTAGGATCCTCAAAGAAAAGAGAAGGGGCTGGGGAAGGGTCGCGTACTCACCCCCAGGCGCAGACTCGGCTCCGGCTCGGAGCCCCGGGTTGGGGCGGGGCGGGGCTGGGGGGGGGGGAGGGGGAGTCGCTGGGCGGCTCGAGCTCCGGGCTCCTGCGGCGGCCGCGGCAGTCTGGGGGAGGGGGAACGGGAGGAGGGAGGGGGATGAGGAGGGGGGCGGGGCCGCGCAGGTCCCACCCCCCCACGCCAGCACACGCAAGGCGCGCGCGCACTCTCAGACCGCCGCTCTCCCGGCGGGGTAGGGCGCGCAAGCGCAGTGGAGCGGCCGCGTGGGGGCAGAAGGCGGCGCTGGGCCAGAGAGGCCGGCAGCGGGGTATTCCCGGGCGGCGAGAGCGGTAGGGCAGGGTGGCTGGGGGAATGGGCGTCAAGCTCCTCACTTTTTCTCCGCTGTCTTCCTTCCCTGCAGTTGGGAAGGCGCACTCACCGGGGTGGGTGGGGAGAAGCTGGAGTGGAAGATTAGTGGGCCCCTTGGGGGCAGAGGGGCGGCCCCTGACCCCGACCCTCCCCTCCCAGTCCCCAAGGGCGGCGGGGTCCCCATTGGTCTCTGCACCCCGCGACCCCCTCCTGCGCTCACCTCCCTTCCCAGAGATGTGGGGCCGGCCTGGGGAGCGGTGGGCTGCGGTCCAGCCTTTGCGAGGAGGCCTCAGCCGGTCACCCTTCCGCGGCTCCTCGAGTTTGTCTTACTTCTCTCGTCTTCCCTTCCCTTTCCCAGCCTGGGTCTTCAAATAACTTTGTGACTCGTTTGCCAGGCGTTTCTGTGGTGTGGAGAGTGCGTCCACTGCTTTCTGTCATGCCAGTGAGTGGCTTCTCCGGCTCCAGGGGGTTCCCAGGTTTCTCATTTCACGAGAGGCTGCATCAGCCAGGACTAAGACTGGAAAAATGAAAAGGGAGGGAAAGAGAGAGACAGACGTGTGTGTGCATACTCCTGTATCGCATCCACACAGATCACAAAGGCACGCAGAGTACCAACTATTCATTGAATTTTGGGTTCCTGGAAGGCTCTCTTCCTTCAGGCTTGAAGAGGGTTGGTCTGGGGACAAAAAGGAAGTATTGCTTTCCATAGTGGGCAGTAAATGAATTTTGCCACCCTAAAAGATTGAATGGATTGAATTTATAAAGAGGGTAACAAAAAGGCATATGGATGGAGCACCCCTGGGTTACTTGGGAAACACTGGGATGCTGGGATATTGGGAGCTACTTAAACCCTGGCTGCTGGACAGAGGAAGGTACTGCCTACCTGGTTGTGTCGGGTTCTTGTGATTGGTCATTGTCTCTGCTGTCTGCTGGCGTTTTAAAGGGTTCATTAGTAGTTTTTGGAATGCAACTGTGAGGTTTGATTTATTGCAGTTCAAACTGAACTCCCATTCAAACAGAGTCCCATTGGTTAGCTGGAATCCAGTTTAGTGGATCATGGCCATCATTTAAAAAAAAAAGATAATCCGAGTGCATTGTACTTAGTAAGACCAAGTATTGTTTCTTGATGCTTGCTTTAGGTATGCATATGTATGTGAATGTGTTAGGTGTTATACCATGTGTGTTTTTTGTGTGTCACAGAAAACTTCGAAATGCATTGGTCTTCCGTATCCTCCTGTTTGCCTTCTTGCCTTCCTCAGTCTGAGTGTTCAGTCATTTAAAATTGTGTACAAGGACTCAGCACACTGGGAACATACAGTAACGAACAGAGTGTGTCTCTTTTTTTTTTTTTTAGGGGAGGTACTGCCCAAGAATAAAGACAGTTTACTCTTCACTCATGGGAATACATGGAATTGAAGAACAAGCGTTTTGTTGGAGTAGGAAGTGGGGTTGGCTTAGTTAGGAAGGATAGAAAGGAGGATGGAGTGAAATTGTCTTTGGTAGACTCCCTGGTGGGAAGAATCGTCGTAGATTTGGATTGTGGGAGTTGTTTTGGGTAGGAGCAAGCAGTTGAGATGAACAAGGATCTGCCCTGTTTCTTTGTTTTTATTTTTCTTAGATGGAATTGTCCATTCAACCCTTAGAGCTTCTTGGATGTATATTTACTATGGAACTTTTCGCATATTGTGTTGATTTTGTGGTTGTAAAGCTGGTGTGATCCATTGCCAATAGCACTTATAATGGAAGTGGATCTCTGAGGATCACTACAAG